ATGCACAATTTTGGAGCGAGGTCTCGTTCGCCCCAACGCTGCAAAATGCAGCCTCGTTACTCTTCCTAGAATAATTATTCGTCCCCTGGGTTGCTTCTACCGTTTCGAATAAAGATCGTTCGGCAGCAGCTTCGATTATTTCCACGGCAGAAAAAATATTTCGAACCGTGAAAAACGCAGCGGGGCGACGGCGACGTTGCGCTCTACGTGGAACCGTCCACGTAGGCTATGGGTATTGCTTTTATTATCTGCCGGGACGAAACACCATAAACTCCGGAAACTGTCACACAGTGTTCCCCAGCGATGCGTGGAATTGTGGCGACGACATATTAGCAGCTTCTCATTGTGCGACCGAAGAAAAGATTCGCCGAGGGGTGGAGAGATGCGACGGAATCAGTCCGCCAAGGGTTGCCACAATACGGACAGGTGAAAAAATAGGGTATCCGATCGACATGGGACGAGTAAGAAGCGGGTATCCGGAAATTAAATCAGGGAATTTCGGTGTTTGCTGTTCGCGTTAGACTGCGGACAATGGGCGCCATTGATGCGCGATCCGATGCATAAATTATCGGTTTTCGCAAATACAGAGCCGTCAGAACCTGAAGTATCATTCACGGTTGAACATCGTTCAGGTTCGAGCTATTTACTAAATTCGGTCGAAAGTTACGTAGATTTATAGCCGGTGTTCAACTTTATTTTCGAATTATAATTATTTTCAAATAACAACGAAGTATAAAACGCTATCAGCGAGTTTAGTTCAGCGAGAGGTTTCTCTGGTAAATATTCACAGGGCTTTTTCTGCGTTTCTATCGTTTCCGAGGATAAAACCAAGAGATTCTAGAATTCTTGGGGATCGATAAAATAAACTGAAGAGATCCGAGAGTGCATCGGTGCATCCGACATCGACGAGCGCGGCGCGAGAGACCGAAAATTCTAAAAACAGTAGCACTATTCTGGTCGCCGGCGTTATCGGAGTGTTAACGCGGCTTCATTCTGATATTTCAGCCGGTTATTTTAACGAACAGGCCAATAATGGGACTGTCATCGGTTGGCCGTGCGATCGAGCACGACATAGATAATTGGACAATGCACCGATGCATATCGAGGTTGCATTGTATCGGCAATGGTGCAATACGATGGAGTGCTCTCCGATGTCGTCTGCGATTCGATATCGGTTGTTCCCAGCGTATTCGAGAACAAAAGAACGCTCGAGTGGGACGCTCAGCCGATCCACTTCGCAGGGCTCGCGCGGTGGTGATCGTCGCTTATAACGACGTTGTAAAATCCGCGAGAGAGAATCGATCGGGAGAGACCTTCGTTGGAGACGCGAGAAAAATTCAGAGCGAGATCGGTGCCGAGAGAAACGTTGAAAACGAGGGGGAAGAAACAGAAAAGGAAAAGAGTGTACGCGCCAAAAATATCCGAAGCCGAGGCTCTACTCCCGATTCCCGCGGAGCGAAACCAAGCTTTTCCAGCTGGAAATAAAATTCGCCCTCCTGCTGTAGTATAATACGTTATGCTTCCTGGTCCGGCAATCTAATTCGAACCCAATCACGAACCCGAGGCTGAGGCGTTGCTGGGAAAATTCTCGGCCCGTCTTTGCGACCGGATTTTATCGAGATCGTGAACATTTGATTTATATATATATTAATATTTACAAGTATCAAAAAGTCTACTGAAAGTGTGATAGTACCGAAAATAGAAAGCACAAGTTCTTCCATTAACAAAATTATCGTCAATAATTCTTGGCTGATTGGAAACGCGTCAGAGACGAGACAATACCGCCAACGCAAACTATTGCTTTATCATTCAATAATCGTTATCTACCATCGGTACAAAAGCTGGTATTTTACAACGAATTGAAAATCGTCAACGCTGGAACACCGCTCGAGATAAATATCTGAATACCTGGGAAAGAGATCGCCTCGTATTATCTTCGAAGCCTCGTTCGACGCGGGTGGTCGAGCTGTCAAAAATCGTGAATGCCACCGGACGATCGAATGCCACCGGCGAAACCGAACGAAAGGGTTGGTCGCGATCCGAACGAGGAAGCTTCAGGGGTTGCCGAAAGGGGGAGAGAAAGAGAAACCCGGCGACCGACGACATAGTGGGGGCACAGAGAGGAGAGGCGGTGGGCACGATGCACTCTCTCGCGTCTCGCCTCGCGTCTGTTTAGTTTAGTCGTTCGCCGTGCGCGCGCCATGCTGTATCGATGATGTTAGTTCCCCGGTGTCAGCTGCGAGCACAGACCTTCCCTTCCCGGTGTGATCCTCCTTGGGGATCCCTAGGGTGCCAGTGATCGTTGACAGCGCTTTTCCGTCGGGGGGTTTGGGGGGTCGTTCGCGGCGAGTTTCGTCCCTTGACCACGAGCAACACGAATTGTGACAGTGTCGAGTGCCGAAGAGATTCGACAATGTTTTCGAGTTGTTTCGGCGCGTCGGAGCTGCTCCGCGGTGAGGAACAGCGGTGAGAGGCTCGGTTTGTCGTGGTCGGACCGATATCCAGGTTGCCGGACAGTCGTCGAATCGGGTCGCTAGTGAAAAGTTAACCGTTCGCACGTATCGCGAGCTGACCGATACCCGAGCTCATTAACGGCTCGTCGAAGGCGAAACCGACCGATAACGTTATCTCCGGCAATTCCAGGCTCCGTCGCGACCGCCATTGTCGTGGGACGGGGGCGATATCGTTTACCACGACGTCAACAGGTGATCCTATGCTGCAGCATAGAGCCAAAAGCACCGCCGAAGCTGCGGGCCTCGGTTTCCTGTCGGCCCGTTGAACGAATCCCGATCGCGCCGAGCGACGACATCCGATCGCGAGACGAAAGACGAAATAGGAGAGACGAAATTTCCGTTGGACCGGACTCGGTCGTTCCGACGGCCGATAAGGTCACGCTCGCATGTGCCAGGGGACAACGGAGATAAGCCTCTAAACAGAGAGTGGAAAGGGGCCCGGCTTCGTCTCGTCTGGCGCCTTGTTCTACGCGCTAAAGTGACACGTCGCCTTGGCCAATAAAGCGACAGACGGTCTAAACTGAACGGATCGGCAGCTGCACTCTTTCGCCGCTGTCCCGGTCCCGGTGTGCCTCGTTCGTTGGCCCCATACCCGACCGGGTTAATTTCGGACCGAGTAGGCGGTCCCCGCGAGGGAGAACCGATCCTCCGCGCCGCGCCGCGCCGAGCCGAGCCGAGCCGAACTAAACGCGCCGCTCCGCGCCGCGCCGGAAAGAAAAGATAGAATAAAGCAGTGGTTGTGCCGGAGTGCCGGATCCGAAATGACTCGCCGGAACTGAGCCACGGGAGAAGGGTTCCCGAGGATTTCGCCAGGATGATGATGGCGCCGCAGGTTGTGGGTGTCCTGCTGAAAAAACCAGGACAGCAGAGCCACCCACGGTTCCCGCCGCTGGATCCGCAGGAGACCAAAATTAGGGGTGAGTTTTGATCTCGCTTACCAACGTTCGTCCTCCTCGGAATCGGCGGAGCGACAGGGGTGGTTTTACCACAGCGCAACATCTGCCACCGTATCGTTTCATCGCGGCCACACTTCCGTCCTTGTTCAGGAAGTTGTGCGTGCTTGATATTGTTAGGCAACGCGAGCGTAATCATTCCTAGGCTTTCACTTGTTCAACCGTGCTGTCTCGGCTTGCTTCGAAAACTATTCCGAGTTCACGGTGCGCTTAAACGAAACGAAGCTTCCGAGGCGAGCTGATAATAGAGCTAAACGACGTTTTCAAGTAGCTTTTTCGGTCAGGTGTTATGTCAAGGTTTCTTTGATTTAGCATCGTCTAGAACTTGTTCGATATCGCATAAATTTCGAGCACGTCCGAGGATCCGTTTCGACGACGAACAACTGTCTCGATTTAACCAATGTCGTTCGCGTTCTCGCTAAACACCGCGCAGAACAAGTACACATCGGGACCGTCTAATTTGTTCACTGATTTAGACACTGCACCACGCTGCACTTTGAACGCTGCACTCCACGCTGCACTTCAAATGAATCGACAATCGCGAGCAAACCATGTATATGTAGAGCCTGCTCAATGAAACAGCCACGCTAGGCTACGCGAACTTTGAATGAAGCAGGCAAACCGAACGTTCACTGGAGAGATACCTAATCTAGTTTAGATAGAATAGGGGCTCTATCGGACTACGAATGTCTCCTAGAATTCCAGAAGTCGCCAAAACTTCGTCAGCTATCCTCTGATTCATCGTCGAAGCTATTTGAAATCTATTCCCCTGCGATCTCGCCGAAATAATTAGCGAAACGAATGAACGAACACCTTTTCAAGCGAAAGAGGAATCACCGAATCCGCGGAGCACGGTAGTCGCGATAGAGCTACGACACGAAGACATTGTACAAAGTTTCGGAGACAGCAAACCGTTCGCTCGGCAAATATTAGCCTAACTCTTAACTAGAAAATCGACGGCCGAGTCACGACCTAGGTCACTGTTTCGCCGGCCGTCTAATCTTCGTTATCGCAACGGCTCACCCGGGTATGGTCGCTCCATTTTTCACGATTACCACTTCGTTTGGAGTGCTTGAATCGATAACTAATTGATCGATCGAAGGATCTCTCGCCCTCTCTCTCTCTCTCTCTTTCTCTCCTTTTCTGTGGAGAATCTATCCAGAATTACCGTACTCCCAGGTACTATAATGTCTCTCTAATTGACGCCCAGGTTGTCCAGAAAAATGGACAATTTGGGAAGAGGAGATACGATTATTCGAGCCTTGCAGCCAGCTGTTGACAATTCGTGACTATAAAAATGAACCGCAAGGATCGAATTGTCTATTTTCGTGGACAACCCGGGCGTCAATTAGGGAGACATTACTGTACCCGAGAGTACGTAGATTAGAAGTTTCAGGGATCAAGCGAGCGTTCACTCTCGTTACAAACAGCGCCTCGAGTTACGACCTGATAAGACCGAGTGTTGTAACAACACGGCCCAATGAATCATAACATCGATAATATTACAAGGATCGGGGCCGANAATAAAGCAGTGGTTGTGCCGGAGTGCCGGATCCGAAATGACTCGCCGGAACTGAGCCACGGGAGAAGGGTTCCCGAGGATTTCGCCAGGATGATGATGGCGCCGCAGGTTGTGGGTGTCCTGCTGAAAAAACCAGGACAGCAGAGCCACCCACGGTTCCCGCCGCTGGATCCGCAGGAGACCAAAATTAGGGGTGAGTTTTGATCTCGCTTACCAACGTTCGTCCTCCTCGGAATCGGCGGAGCGACAGGGGTGGTTTTACCACAGCGCAACATCTGCCACCGTATCGTTTCATCGCGGCCACACTTCCGTCCTTGTTCAGGAAGTTGTGCGTGCTTGATATTGTTAGGCAACGCGAGCGTAATCATTCCTAGGCTTTCACTTGTTCAACCGTGCTGTCTCGGCTTGCTTCGAAAACTATTCCGAGTTCACGGTGCGCTTAAACGAAACGAAGCTTCCGAGGCGAGCTGATAATAGAGCTAAACGACGTTTTCAAGTAGCTTTTTCGGTCAGGTGTTATGTCAAGGTTTCTTTGATTTAGCATCGTCTAGAACTTGTTCGATATCGCATAAATTTCGAGCACGTCCGAGGATCCGTTTCGACGACGAACAACTGTCTCGATTTAACCAATGTCGTTCGCGTTCTCGCTAAACACCGCGCAGAACAAGTACACATCGGGACCGTCTAATTTGTTCACTGATTTAGACACTGCACCACGCTGCACTTTGAACGCTGCACTCCACGCTGCACTTCAAATGAATCGACAATCGCGAGCAAACCATGTATATGTAGAGCCTGCTCAATGAAACAGCCACGCTAGGCTACGCGAACTTTGAATGAAGCAGGCAAACCGAACGTTCACTGGAGAGATACCTAATCTAGTTTAGATAGAATAGGGGCTCTATCGGACTACGAATGTCTCCTAGAATTCCAGAAGTCGCCAAAACTTCGTCAGCTATCCTCTGATTCATCGTCGAAGCTATTTGAAATCTATTCCCCTGCGATCTCGCCGAAATAATTAGCGAAACGAATGAACGAACACCTTTTCAAGCGAAAGAGGAATCACCGAATCCGCGGAGCACGGTAGTCGCGATAGAGCTACGACACGAAGACATTGTACAAAGTTTCGGAGACAGCAAACCGTTCGCTCGGCAAATATTAGCCTAACTCTTAACTAGAAAATCGACGGCCGAGTCACGACCTAGGTCACTGTTTCGCCGGCCGTCTAATCTTCGTTATCGCAACGGCTCACCCGGGTATGGTCGCTCCATTTTTCACGATTACCACTTCGTTTGGAGTGCTTGAATCGATAACTAATTGATCGATCGAAGGATCTCTCGCCCTCTCTCTCTCTCTCTCTTTCTCTCCTTTTCTGTGGAGAATCTATCCAGAATTACCGTACTCCCAGGTACTATAATGTCTCTCTAATTGACGCCCAGGTTGTCCAGAAAAATGGACAATTTGGGAAGAGGAGATACGATTATTCGAGCCTTGCAGCCAGCTGTTGACAATTCGTGACTATAAAAATGAACCGCAAGGATCGAATTGTCTATTTTCGTGGACAACCCGGGCGTCAATTAGGGAGACATTACTGTACCCGAGAGTACGTAGATTAGAAGTTTCAGGGATCAAGCGAGCGTTCACTCTCGTTACAAACAGCGCCTCGAGTTACGACCTGATAAGACCGAGTGTTGTAACAACACGGCCCAATGAATCATAACATCGATAATATTACAAGGATCGGGGCCGAGGAGGCCGGTGAATGGTGAGTTGGTGTTTTCGCGTGCGACGAGGAACGTCCTCGCTCTCCTGTCGCCAAGCGAGCCGCGTTTCTTCGTCTAGTTTGTAGCACTTTCTCGTTGCATCTTCGTCGGGCCATCCGTTTGATCGTTATTCAGGCTCGGCGGGGAGAAATAATTAGAACCGTTCGATGAGAATGCGAGTCATTAGGACATCAATCGCTAAACGAGTCTCTCCATTAACGTTTCCCTCAACGTTGAGCAAACTTTGCCTCGTTGTACTATTTCTGACAGGCTGAAATCGTCGGAGGGAACAAATTCACTTTCGTTCAACTTCTCTTTCTTGTCGAGATCAAAAACTACGATAGAAATCGAATAAAAATGTCACAGAACCTCGCGTCAAATTCTATTCTAAAAATTCTAAAAAATCTATTCTAAATCTATCCTAAAATTCTATATTCAAATTCTATCACACTGTGTTTCGTTTGGCACAAGGTTTCCTAAGTTTGATTGTAGTAGGATCTTCACAGTCTTTATTACTATTTTGTAATAGCAAATATGAAACCAATTGTTAGCGTTGAAAATATCCTCTGTCGTAAGTCCGATAAAATTCGGAGAGCGCGCTATAGAATGGCGCCATAAAGCGAACTGTGTCAAAAATTCCAAAATAGCGTGGCCCGTGACAAATCCAGAAAGGTCCCGGCTGACTAAGCAGTTTGGAATGGTAATCCGAATTCGCGTATCGCGTATGGAATGCCGGGTCTACAGGATTCCGGAGGGCAGGAGGAACGCGAAGGACTCGCATAAAACTCAAAGTCGTCGCCGGTTATGGCGCGAAATTAGCCCAGGTGTCGTCAACCCTGACATTACGATCGCGGAGACGGTGTCAGGGCTAGGATCACGATCCTCTCCGAGTCGGCGCTGGAAAAAGAAACAGCGATCAGGCCGCGCTTACTTAGGCCAGCCAGTTTTCATGTTCCCCGGTGCGGGTAACCGCGTAAAAGTATCCCGTTACACCACGGTAGCCCAGATACCGGGTTACGGTGCACGAATTGTCAATCGAACCAGAGGTTGCGAGTTTCCGTCGACTAGCCGGCGGAAAAACGCAGACCACAAGAATTTCGTGGCGCCATTTTTTCCCGACGTCCGCCTCCAGGCTGTTTAGAAACCTCCGTTCTGAACCCTTGAAATTCTGCTTCGATTCTACTCGAAACGGAGGTCGAACGTCGACGCTTCTGCGCAATTTTCAATCCGAGGTAAAATAAATTTGTAAACGCTTGCAATTAAGCAGAAGGTGTTGAAAGTTTGCGTACAATTTTAGGACAGCTTCGTCGTGCTTTAAACCAAAATTTTCCCCCAGTTTAACAGAATTTGCAACGACGAAAGTATTCGACATTCGGTGCAAGGCCGGTAGAACCTTGTATAAAGTTTTTTAGACAGTTCGATTCGATCCGAATGTCCAATCCAGCTTGGCAAAAAATAAATCTTGTTCCATGAAGCTGATTTTTTGCTGGCGAAGCACGGTACTCGCCGAGGAAGTGGCTTACGCGGTAACGTTCCTTTTGTACCGATTATTCTAAAAATGATTGAACTACATAACTCATCACCGTGTCCTCGCAACGTTTATCATTAAAGTCCGCTAACGAGAAATGGGGCGTTACCGTTTCCAGTTCGCGCGAAACAACGCTGCGGCGCGTAGATGATACACGCATAGTATTTCGATCGTGTCCGACTCGATTTATTTGCGCATCGATAAGGAACATATCTAATCTGGGATATACGACTTGGAGTATTTGTTGCGCGGCTTTGTGGACGTTGTGCGATTACAATTAAAGGAGTCATCGACGGAGAACATAAGTAAGCGGACTGACTCGAAATCTATTAAAATTGACACAAGAACGTTTATCATTATTTCCGAAAAGATTTATCGGGCACGCGGAAGTTGGTGCACTCGAGAATCCAATTAGTTTTTATTCTCCGGATAATCGAAGCTCTCCGCTCGTTGTTCCACGAGAAAGATAACCGATTGGAGCGTAAAATTACTATCTCGAATACGATATTTGATGTGCCATTTTATTTCATTCTTTCGACTGGAGACCTAATCCTCGACGTTTTTATCGCCATTGCGCGCAATTAAGGAGACTTAGAAACTCTCGAATTTTCTTCGGAAATGAAATTTTCTTCGCTTGCCGCTGCCGAGACGTTCCTACCGTGCGGCGTAGCTTAGCAGCAGTTAGATCGAAACTCGCTTCTTCTCCACAAAATATCTGAACAAGTTAATGACAACGTACAGCGAAACGTTATCAAATTCCCCCGATACTTTCCCCGTTCTATTTTTCACTCGCCCCCTCTCGCGAACGCGTGGATTCGCAGTCGAGCGATTCGCGGTCCGTGTCCGCGAGGTGAAAATTAGAGCCGCGCCCCGGATACGTCGAAGTTGACGGATCCCGTCGATGTTTAGGTCAGAACGTTTGTTATGCGGATGGTTAATTGTAGCCGGCAAGTGGAGTACCTAAATTCCATCGTTTACGGCAGGTCAAGAAACAGTAAAAGGAAAGCAGGTGAGTCTATTAACGCGTGTACACACCTGTACTGGTTCTGACGCGGTCGAGACCGAGACACGTCGCGCCGCTGAATCCCTACCAATCCTTGCCGTTCCTCCCCGCGCGCGCAATTATCCTAGGCCCTTTCTCTTCTAACGGTCCTCCGGGAGACAATTAATCTAGAGCGATGTAGAGGAAACGCTTTTCCCTTTCCACTTGTCGTTATCGCGTACCAATGAAGATTCAGCGAGCTTAAACAATTTATTGAATCGTCGGAAAATTTGATCTCATGATCAGGAGTCCTGCTATGAATTATATAATAATTATATAAATAATTCGTCGATGCTCTTAACGGATTCTTAACGATCCTCTCGGGAAGCTTTTTAAATATATTTTACACTCGAGTCTTATAAAAAACGAGCTAGAAGGCTCGAATAATCGTGTCTTCTCTTCCCAAATTGCCCTATTTCTCTGCACAATCTGAGCGTCAGTTACGGAGACATTACTGTAGACAACTTAGAGAGGTAGCCACCCTTCGGATTTCGTCTCCCTCGGACGCTCTTCCGTTTCTGTCTTTCTCGCCACGGGGATTCGCGGCGATTTTTCGCGAAACGCGAGTCGCAGCTCGAGGGCCTGTAGACGGTTTTTCTGAGGGTAAATAGCCAATGGGGCCCCGTCGAAGGGGCACGCACGAGTGTCCGCAAATGGTGACACACGTTTCACACTTCGGTGTCCGCGTGTGCGGCACAGGAACAGGATCTTCGAGGTGTCGGGGCTGCTAACTCGATTTTTTTTGCAGCCGCTGCAACCTTGCCGGAGGATTCCCCATCGAATCCCCATGTCTGGGCTACTCGAGGCATCGATCTCGGAACGAGTGCCAGTGTGAGACAATGTTGCGAGAATTGCTACTG